TGAAAATCCCAGCTAATAGTTTATAGCGCCGTTTAGCGTGTAACCGTGATTTCATGTAGAGGATCTTACTGCGTTATTTGTCCTACTACTTGCCACAGCTGTGGGGACGTATATACGAGCGGAAGTGGTGAACCACTTTGTGCTACTATTCTACGAATATTGAAACCGGGAAATTAGTCGCACTCTTCAGCCCTTCCCCCCCCCCCCCCCCCCCCTAGGCTAGCCCAGCATGCAATCCCATTCTGCAATCACACTATAACCGTCTCATCCCATTTATGAGGCGGTTATAGCGTATGGGGTATGTGTGCGAACGTGCGTCCGAGGATGCGCGTTGCAAAGCGGGGCGAAGTTCGTGATGGTTTGAACGAGTTCGACGCCTGTCATTGGGGCTCAAATTTCAAATAGAGTGGATTAGGAGGGTCATCCGACCCTACTAAACTACATACTTCGAGTTTGTGCCCCGAAAATTGGCGCCACAGTCGTACAAATCGTCACGAACTTCGCCGCGCGCACCCTCGTACGCACGTTCGTACCGTCCTCCCACAGCGTCACGGTCAAGTTCTTGGCGTATGACACACAGCCCTGAGACAGTAGACTCGGGGACGTTTTTGGGTACGCGTTACGGATCCAAAAAAAAGCTTAACGCAGATTGCGTGTCAATTTTGCGCAAACCCACCCCTTATCTATCTCTTGACTTAGATGGCCGAACTTGCCATCGTTGGCAATTGCTAATTAGTTTGATTGCAATTCTTAGATTCGGTGAGATGTTTGTTCGGATAACCTAAAGAGTCATTTGAGTTCCCATTCGTTGAGTCTCTAAATATAGGGAATTCACTGAAAAGTTGCCGTCAGTAGCCATTATCTGTCACTTTCGTTTGAATTTTATGCGTAAATTCAATTCAACAACTCGCCATGGGTCATGGAGAGCTAAATGTCGAGATGTCCTCGTTGGCTTGTTGAGGCTATGTAGTTCTAAAGCATTTGTCCTGTGCACATTCTTCGGTATTTCGATGCTTTTGCCAGTGATATGGAGTCCTATTTAAAACTTATATACTTACTAATGATTATTACAGAATCAGTCAACAGTCATATTTTGTGGACCTGTTTAATTGCAATCAGTGGAGAGGGGTTCTTATAAAGCAAGTTAGCGGAAATCTCTCCTTGATTGCATTTCGAACATCTTAACCATTGGCTGACGTTTGGTTCAGTTCTATATCGAACGAGCTGCGGGCGACTGCCAACTGTTCTCTGAGCCAGTGGAGCTATATGCATAGAGCTATAAAGAGATGTGATAGGTGTAAATAAGAGGGTAATAGCGGCCGAAGCTATGAAGGCTGGGAGGAGTATTCATAGCACGAGACGGAGTTTCGCGTGTTGCGAGACCAAGATAACTTGTCTACTATGCCCTGACGGAACACTTTGCATCCCGAAGAAAAATTTATTATCTTTGTTCAAATCTTTCAAAGGCCACGACGACCTGCTTATTTTGAGGCAGAATCAATATTTAATATTTTCCCTTATTCTGGATATGGTGCTATACAGGGTGGGCCAAAATTATGACTACACAGAAATCAGATCGTAGAAAACGAATAGAAAGCCAATAGAGCAAACCAATTCCATTAAAGTGTTTTTCGCTAATTTCTTGTCAAAATTGTGCATTGAAACTGGGATCTGTTGCTTTCTGCTTTCGCCCAACCCCAGAACCGACGATGGACGGCGTTGACGGGGGCACGCAGCTAAGGTCACCAAGTTGATCTCGGCTTTTTGCAAGGCATTTTTGAGATTATTTCTTCTCTTGTTCGGGCTAAAGGGTGCTTTCATCTCAGAGGCTGACCACATTGAGACATTCATGGGATCAGGTCAGGGCTCTAGAGCACTATCGAAGGCTATGAAGTCAAGGAACCTTTTTTACGGGATTTCTAGACAATTTCTGTTCTACGGTCATAAGCTTCATCTTGACAATATGACCGGTTTGAATCACCAAAGTGTCCTATTGCGCACGAACAGATCAAACAGGCCTCCAAATCAACTTTAACTCCATAACATACAAAAATAATCGGTGTCTTTGCTTCGGCGATGATGCTAGCACAGGCCATCACAGAAAGTTAGTGAGCCAAACGCTGTATCACTT